AATAATAATAATGCTAGTAATAATTATAATAGTGAAATGCTAATAATAATAATAATAATGATAGAATAATTCTTGTGCCAAAAAATGGTTAATTTTTAATGAATTAGAAAATGTGTGTAAAAAAGTATTGTGATATTATGCGAAAATTTTTTTTATAGGGTATTTTGGGTAGTGGATTTGCTTTAAAAGTACAACAACATCAACGTCAAAAACATCTAATTAGACGACGTGTACCAGCGGCACGTTTAATTCAATGCATGTGGAGGCATTACGCTGCAACACCAGAAAGTTGCTCAGTTGCTACGTGGCGTGTTTACTTAGCAACAATTAACTCATCAAAGTAATCAAATCATCCTATCATTCTTCTTTTTTCCTCTCTCTTTCCCTTTCTTTCTCTGTAAAATTTTTATTTCATAGTGAAAAATAACATTATAGATTAAATATTAGAAATAATGATAATAATAAAAGCATTAATTAGAAAAAATAAGTGAAAATGAGTAAACTAATTAATGAGCAAAAAAATAATAAATGATATGTTTCTAGTAGTATATTTAATTGATAAGGGTATAAATTTTATTTATTAGCAATGTATTTGGTTAATTGATATTCATCGTTGATTTATAAAATTATCTTGGAAAGGATGAAACTTTGTTTATTGACAATATCGAATAATTAATTAATATTTATGTCAAATATTTTTGAATTGTTTTGGCAAAAAAATTCATTCCTCTTTTCTTTTTTTTTCATTTTGTTTATTTTTATGGTAGCTGTCAGAAGCAAAAAATAGTATAGAATATTTTAATTTCCAATAACTTTCTATCTTTAATTTTTACGCATGCTTTGTAAAATTTTTTTAATACTTTAATTTTGAATTTCTCTAATTTTTGTGTTTTCAATAATTATGATTTGCATGGTTGTGGCGCAGCAAAACTTCATATTTCAAACAATATTTAATTTCATTGAATTACGCTAAAATTGCATTAAAATGCATACATTTTTAAAAGATAACTTTTTTAAAAAATAAATTTGAAAAAAAAAAGTTAACCAATCCCAAATTACTTGTAAATCATTAGTTTCAAATGCGCTAAATGAAAGGCATTTTGTGACTATTTGCGCATGCATAATAATTAGAACTTGCTATCAAATATTTCAATTAATGTTAATTTTATACCGTTTCATTGGCAAGGAAAAAAAAGACACGATTATTTATTGCGTTGCATATTACTGTAGGAATAAGAAATTCAATTGATAAAAATAGAAATGAAATTAATTTCTATTCTATTATATATGATACTTGATATTAAAATTTTATCATGCATCATCCTATCATTTATTTGTCATTGCAATTTATATTCATACCTTGTTAACATTAACTGAAAAAATCCTTATCAAAGATATTTATTTGTAGCAAATTAATCGATAGTAAATTAATTTTGTTAAAATTAAAATGTATTAACAATTCTAATTAATCATAATTAATAGACGCTTGATTGAACATATGAATTACTTTTTTTGTTCGGCATCGTTCTTAGCGAAATATTACACTTTTAGTCATGCTGTAATAGATTACGGAAGTGACAGAAATGAACAGCGTTACAGTATAACAGATTGTAATTGGCGGAGAAGAAATCTTTGTTATGCATGAAATTTTTAGAGAAAACCGGAAACTCAACCGGATTTATTTATGCTGTCAATTATAACTTTATATGATGGAAACTAATATTGTAATAATCTATACCGTACAAATACTGTATAAGTAAAAATATTTACAAAAAGAAAGCGAAGAATTCAAAAAATGCAAATTTATTCAATAATTGCATAAATTTAAATATATTACTGATGATTAATAATTGTAATGATTAACTCAAATTATTGAATTAATCATTATTCCTTTTAAAAAAGCAAAGTAATTATACGGCATAATTTTATTCTTTAATATTTGGCATACAAGCAACATTTGCTTAGATTACAAGTTTATTAAAACACAAAATGCATGTCGACATTCAAATATTAATTAATATCCAATAAAGGTCGCATGACGACCTTTACCGGATATTAATATCTGAATGTTTTTCTCTCATACAACTATAACTTTATCATTAATCATTTTTCTAGCAATAATGATAATACATTAATTTAATCAAATTTTGAAGAATTTTATAATTTTATACAAAATTAGGAATACGTCATTCGATATTAATAATTATATATGTTTGGAATTTTTAAATTTTCATCACTTTCTTCATTCAAATTAGTTAGTAATCGAAGAGATAAACGGAAGGAAAAATTGCGCTTTGGAAGGGAAAGAGAGAGAAAGAAGAATGAAAAAAAGGTCATTTGAATCAATGATTCATTTGGGAATATGTATAATTCAAGAAAGTTTTTGTCATATTTTAGAGTAGCTATTAATTTTTGTTCCTCCTTTTTTCTTTCATTTTTCACTTTTCTTTTTCCTTTTTTTTTTTACAATAAAATTTTAGCTAAATAATTGCAAAAGTTTATTTCATCTTTTTTGTTAGTTTAACGGGATAAAATAATTTGAAAAATTTGGCGGTGTATTAAAAAATAAGTAAATTTCGTACCGAAAATTTTTCCATATATTTTTTTTCATTTCCAAAAGATATGAAAAATTGAGGTTTTGAATTGGTAAATGAAATAGGATTAAAATGAGTTTTGCAAAATTTTAAATAACTTAAAGTCTACTTTTATATTTATAAATACTAGAATCTTAATTTTTTTTCAAATAAATAAATGCTATAAAAATTCTTTTGTTATGGCCTGAAATAATCATTGCTAAATTTCTATTTAATGCTAAAATTAATATTAGTTTTAAGATTATTTGCATTTTTTCCATTCAATTCTAAGAAAAGTAACTTTGTATATTTTCTTAAATCTTGTAAAAGAAGTGAAATTAATAAAAAAATTTATAATTTTATCTTAAAAAATAAATTAAATACAATTTTATTATTTCTTTTTAGAAATTTTGAAATTTCTATTTGCAAAATTCGATATTTAATATATTGCAGTAGTCGTGGTGGTAGTGGTGGTGGTGGTGGTGGTGGTGGTGGTGGTGGTAATGGTTGTCAACCAAGTTTAATTAGTCGAATTCGACAAAGTACAAAACGTCGTACCGGAGCAAATGTAATGAGTCATTCCGAGAGTACACTTGATCGTAGCGGTGGTGAAACGGTAGAATTGGGAAAAGTAAATGCATTAAGTCGAGGTGGTTCAATTGTACGAACATTAACCGTACCAGAACAAAGTGATGATATCAGGTAAGCATCATATTATCATATTATTATTTATCATTTTAGTTTCAATAAATTTTAATGTGCAAATTAAAATTATATTTAGAAAAAAAAATGATGATTATTTGATGTAAAATATTAAATAATGATTGTTGAATTTAAATAATTTAAATATTTTCAGTTTTATATCAGCCTCAGATTATAGCGAAGTGGAAAGTTTGGGCGCTTTGGGTTTTAGTTTAAGCGGATGGAAAGCAAAAGGACGCAGTAGTACAAATACGGGATATAAGAAAAGTCACGATGATTCATCCGGCGCAAATAGAACGATTACAGCTACTACGCTTCTTGGCACTACTGATATTGGTTAGTTAAATTTTTAATTTTATAATCAAAATTTATCATTAATTTTTTACATTATTTTGTTTGATAATCACAATTTTCATTCTTTCTTTTTTTTCCCCTTTTATTTTCCTTTTTTTTTTCCTTTCTTCGTTTATCGTTAGGATTTAATGGAATTTGTTTGTGTGAATTGAATAATGCAAGAGAAATCTCACTGATAATCTGATTACACTACGAATGAAAATATTATCGTTTCAATTTATTTGCCTGAAATTTGAATTTTGTGTAGTACTTCCTACTAATACTATCTCTTACTAATATTATTTATTACTTTCTTACTACTTCTGGTGCTGTACTCTTTGTTAATTTTATCCTATCATTTATTGTTTAAGTTTAGAAATTTTTTAAATAATTCCATCTCAAAAAGATTACAAAAAACAATTTAGAAAGAAATTTTGATTAAGTTTCAAGGTAAGCAATTGCAATGCAATAATTTTATCCATCCGATAGCACAAGACAGAGATAATTCTTGAATTTTTGCAATGTGAAGTTATTAGATTGATGTAAAAGTAATTGTAGTTTTGAGGTGTTAATTTTAAATTGTTTTGGGTTATAAATTTTAAATTTAAAAGTTTAAATTGTTAGGGTTTTTAGCAGAAAAATGCACACTCACTTATTTCCGCAATATAAAATTTTTTCATTTTTTATTTTTTTTTTTTATCTTTTATTATTGAATTTATCAAAATCTCACAATGCATTTTATTCATTTTCCGACTGTAAAGAATTTTCTCCACAAAAACGAACATTCGTCGATAATTCTTCTGTATTCCTGATATCAAATCGAATTTATTAAATTTACTCTTTAAATATCAAGTTCAGTTCTTTCGCAAATTTAAATAGATGAAATTTGCTCAATTCACTGTTTGAAATACTAAGTTTACTTCATTATTCTTTGCTATTTTATGATTTATTTTTGAAAAGAAAATTAAATTTTCTCTTTAACATCAGATTTTCTGATCTGCTCCGTACGGATAATAAATAATTATATAGAATTTATTCTTTGATATCAAAGTATTTTTATGCTAATCTTACCAATTTATCGTTAGAAGTTATCATACTGTTCTCATCTATCATAAAAAGATAATCAATTTTAATGCAACAATGATATTTTCCAGTGAGCACTTCCATTCCTCATTCTAACTGCCCCCTTTCTTTTCTCTTTATTTGTTACTTATCGGTTTTTTTTTTGTCTCACAAATAAACTTCTTAATTTACTAACTACTGTTACTTGCTTTTGTCTGTGTTGGTTATTAGTTCTGTTATTAGCATATTGCTTTGCTTCTTCAGAACATTTGCAATCATCGGGAGGTGAATCCGCGGAACCAAATCAATCGTTATCATTATGCAAATATTTAACGGAAGAGGATGGTGATTATATGATGGGTGATTATAATTTGATTATGGCACCGCTCTATCATTGGTGGGAAAAGATACAACAGAGATATCGGCAATCAGACGAACGTGACGGTACGGAACATACAATGTGGAATCATTTAGGCTCCTGTGCATCACTTACAAAATCACGACGTTTACGTGAATCTCACGTTGACATCTACAATGTTATTGGTATTTTAATATAAATTCACCAAATAACATTTTATTTTTTCGTTTTTTCCTTTTTTTTTTCTCGCTATTGTTAACTTCATGCGTGCATGCATTTATATTTATTTCCTATTCGTTTTTAAATTTTCAATTAAGTTAATATTTATTTCAAATATACTATCCTTTGTTTGGATCAGTCTGGTTTTTTCTCCTTTTTTTAGTCCAATATGATAATATCGGAAATGATGGATTGCACAATTATATTCTCTTTGTTCAATTTTTATTGATAAGATAATAAAAGACTGTAATAAATTTCCCCAAATATTAATATCATTCAGTGATAACGCTTAAATGATATTTTATATTTTGCATTTATGTTTCAAAAAATTTCCTATTTTTCAGTATACTGTTTCAAATCTCTTATGATATCATTCTTGAATGCGAATTTTCACTTCACAAATTATTTTAGACGACGATTCACCATCAATGCAACCAAAATCGATGGATGAATTTACTCCATCACTTAAAAATGTGATACGTGCAATTCGACGTATACAACTTCTTGTTGCAAGACGTAAATTTAAAGAAGCTTTGAAACCATATGATGTAAAAGATGTCATTGAGCAATATTCCGCTGGACATGTTGATTTACAAGCACGTGTCAAACATGTGCAGCAAAGGTTAATCATATTACTGACCTTTAATCTTCAACAAAATTCTTATTTTTTTTTTATAATGACCGTAAAATTATGTTTTTTCAGTTTCAATACTTTTTATTAATTTAGACTAATATCAAACTAAGAATTCATCACCTAAAAAAAAAACGATTTGTGTTGCATCCATTAAAATTTAGAAACAAAGAACAAAA